TCAAAATTTCCCCATGAAGATCTTATACACTTTTACATGCGTTTTTGAACCAATTGTCAAAGCAACTTTGTAAGGCACTCTCTGATTGAGTTATCTTCTAAAAACATGCATTCTGAATTTTGCAAAGCAATCCGCTTCTTCAGGTGTCGAAAAACGTTGATACCTCTCAGGTTTGTCTTTACATACGTGGAATAAAAAGAAGTTCATTCGCGGTCCAAGTCAGGACTATGACGGGCGGTGGCTCATCAAATCGTATGTTTTGGGTGCTCAAAATGCAGTTGTTTGAGGCCCGATGTGGTTTGAGAGCTGCGCAATTGTCGCGGTGAAGAGTGATCCGTCTTCGGGCTGGTTGGTGTTCCTGAACTTCTTGGGAAAGACAGCTGGCAAACAAACAGTTGTGTACCACTCAGAATTAAACTGTTCTGCGTTGTTATAGTGGTACGGTTACATGTTCCAGTTTTTCCGAATAAAACAGAGCAAACCTCTGTTTGAAAAGTGCTTCTGACGCTATCTTCTTATCGATGTTTTAGTGCGCGAACTTTTGTTGATTTTGCTCAGTCTTGAAACACCCATACAGTCGACTGCTTGCTTTACTTTCGGGCTTATACGGCGTAAATGCCACGATTCATCACCTGTCACGATGGTCATATACGTGTTTTCGAAGCACCGCGATACGTATTTTTTGAGCATCTTTTTCGATCCAATGACTGATGAGCCTTTTTTGATGCGATTGACAAGAGTGTGTGGGAAGTCGAACGGAACAAATTTGTGTCTTGCGAGTAAATGTTCTATGGCAAGTATGGAATGTAACTGTGCCTGCTCTATGCCTAAGGGTTGTGCTCAATCTCACGAGTAGGTCACATGACGATCTTGCAATAATCAGTTCATGCCACAGCGCATTAATGGTTTTCGGAACCAACAACTGATTTGACGACCCTTCGCGAAATTCGCTTCTTGATGTGAACTACGACCAATTTGGAATTCACCATACCATCGATAAAACTACTGGTTCTGCATGGAGCTTTCATCCCCTAAAAATTGACAATTAAGTGCATGTCCATGCCTGTATTGCTGAGTTAATCCACGTCGAAAAGGTTGTAAAAAAATAATCGCACGAAAATGTTTACGATTTAATTCCATTTCTGGGCATCAAGTAATGATATATTTTTAGTTAACTGGTTAACAAAACAAATAGCGCGCGTGTTTATGTCAAAACGTCTGTGTAGTACGTATACCTCAAAACATCCGACCTTTACGATGAGCTGTCAGTTTGCAGATGTGCAAGCAACAGGGTTGCCCAAATTCCGAAAACATGAAAGGCAACCTTCGGTAAAATTCAATTGAAGTGAGAAAAGTATCATTTACCTTTGTAGCCATGCTCGAAACATACCAATCGTAAATGGGCAGTCGTAACTATTACTTTTTGTATTTGATTAATTGCCACTAACTCAAATTTAATCACACTTTAAGTAGTTTTAATCATAAATCCTATATACTACTAAGTTTTGAATATCTTCTCTAGTATGGAAATGTTTCATGATTATTTACATAACAAATACAATACGATGTAATTAATTAAAACTTGTGAGTGGATTGACAGTGAATAAGTAGTTGTCGTTGTCATTTCACCTTCACGTAAGATGCCAACACCGACCCACTTAGTTCCATCTTTTCGTGATAACTATTTGTTGATGTACCACTCCTCACAACTGGTGAGTGTGTGTGAGATAGCAAATCTTGTGTACCTTTAATGTACATAAGAGTGTTCCTGCTATTTATCGATAGTTTTTTGTTGGGGAAGAAATGGTAGCGATTGTGGATTTTCCGAACGTCCTTGATGCCTGCGCCGTGTTGGCGTTGGCTGTGAGCGCTCGGGAACAAAGGGCGAATTCTCGAGAGGTTGCCGCTGACTTCCTGAGTGTGAAAGTCATTTGAGTATTAGACTGAGTGTGTGCGATGGTAAATATCTGCTTGAATTTATAGCCCTGGCGGCGACTTGTTGGTTGCGAGACTCACTTTCACAGTGCAACCTCTGGGGTTTCGATTCCCGGGCGGGCAGCATTAAAATATAAAAGGTCGTTAATCGTTTGCGCTTCCTGAGTTCAGTACTGTTGCTGTAGTGTGAACGATACGAGGCTCATCTTCTTCAGGTTGAGGAGACCAGAATACATACGTAGGGATGTCTTAGTGTGGACATAACACACGAACCCGCACCTATTGCACGTAAGACCGAGGCGCTAGTGGGTAGCCCTTAGTCTCTGTAAAGAGATAGCTTTATTGCAATGCCAAGTAAGTTATAGGCACTTCAAATTATGCTCAGCCACCCGTAGCCATCTTGTCAAACTCGATAGATCAGTTTGCGAGAAAAGATTTTCGAGCAATTAACAGGTGTAAGCCATAACGTGTCATTCTTCTCACGTGAGCTTCTCTTTATCACGTTCATACAGATACTGGTAGAGTACACATTTGATACATTTTCACATTTTGACTTTTTGTTTATTCTTAGTTGGCACTCAAGAGATAGTCTGTAGCCAAGACAGAAATGGGCGTGATTTTATAAACATGAAGAAAGGGTTGTTGCAAAAACAGACTGGTCTGGGATGGTCTAGTGGGCAGGCATGTGTGTCTGAAACTTTACATTCATTTTACCCTCTTTGACATATGTTCTTGAAATGTAGGAAAACATATAGCATGTGGTATACAACCGAATATCGACGTTTTTGATTTTAACTCCTTAGTTTAGACAGCCTTCATATTGAATATCGGCAAGAATAACAATAATTTGTTCCGGTGCAAAACAATTTTTTTAAAAATATTTCCTGGTAAACAAAACAGCGATTTATGAATCAGACCTGAAAGAGTCGGTATTCTCTAGCCTTAGTAGCCGCGGACACGGTGTCGCAACAAAACCCCTAATAGAAGCACGCTTCCCCTACTAACTACTCTTTCTCCGGCGTCCCATTGACCGCATGCACCAGCTATGGTCGGATTCGCGATAGCGCCTACTTTACGACCGATTCCAAACCACATTTGAGCCCCTCCCCTATATCGGGCATCTTAAAACTTAGATTCGTCCTCAACAAAGAATTGTCACTGGTGTGGTCAATGTCTTTTGTATATTCTCAGCTCCAAGACTTCTAATACGAAGTACCTTATTTTTTTTGTAATTAGTTGGGATATTTTTGTATATGTATTGGTGGTCTCTTGTATGGTTAAGTACATAAAGCACCCAGAAATATTTTCTATACTTGAATCACTTGTGTAAATGGGAGAGTTTTGTAACTTGGGCATTACAGATATCCATGGACGGTGGTTTTTCTGGTTGAAGAATATTTTAAGGATAATTTTGATCTAATATTCTCTAAGCTGATTATTCGAATTGACTTCAGGGGACGACTGCTATAGAAATCGTTTTTTGTATGTATAATCTCGTAGTTCATATTGCCTATTATTATAGAAAAGTTTTTCCTACAATTCTGTAAAAAATATACAATTTATAGTTTTGTTATTCCACGTTGTTTTAAGAAAAAATGTGGCTAACGTTTTGAAATTATTCACAGATAGAGATTTCCTATTCATGTAAATGGTATTCGATGTGCATATCTATTTAACGAAATGAATCTGAAATCGCCAAAACCCACTCCATCTAGTCAAATTTCGTGTCTATAAACTGGTGTTCATATGTGATTTACTTCATTGTGAGGATAGATCAGTCCATTCCAAGATGAATAATTACGAATAAAGCTATAGCGGAACTTTCATTTTGTTTAATCACTGTTGCTATATAAAGAAGTTTTCTGTGATCTCTCACGCATCTAACATTTTGTAGAGATTCCTTAAAAGAAAAATTGATTGTAAATAAATTAAGTTTTTATTCCCATATTTGAGTTCGTAAAGTCGAGTGTCTTCTAGAATCGTGTTTCGGTGTATGTATGTATGTCAACGCTTACACTGTATACGTGGCTGATATAAGAAAAGTTTGTCAGTAATCGATCCCATACCTGTATTTAATTTTTGTTTTTTCA